TTGATGTGTGTGCAGCAGCTTCTGGAAAGTGGACTGCAGCTTTCCCACTCGTCAGCCCTCCCTCTCCCCCACCCTTCCCAACCTCCCCTCCCACCACCGCCACTTCAGCCCACACACGCAATTTGTTTGAGAAGGGAAAAAAAAAAAAAAAAAAAAAAAAGTGATGAACAAGAAGTGGTGAATTACCCAAGCGACTTTCCTCAAAGAGCGAGCGAGCGGGGAAGAGGAGCGGCGGCGAACCCCGCGCAGCCCGCCCGGTGCACCGGAGGACCCGCCGGGGGTCGTGGGGGCTGCGTGGTTGGCGGAGCGTGAACGCATCTCCGCAGCGAGATGCAAAAAGCCTTATCTGCTTGCATTTGACTTGTGATGCCGGCTCCTCACTAGAATGCAAACCCGTGCACAGGATGAAAACAGGTTTGTTGCAAATTCCCCTGGAAATGTTTCATTCCCCACCGCCGCCACCTTCCTGCTGGAGATGTCAGAGAAGATCTTAATGATGACACCTCTGCTGCGTACCCTCCGCTGTTCTTTGGAGATGTTAAGGCAGAGATAAATCTTTTATGCAGCTGTCTTTTCATATCTGTAGCGGTTGCTGCACAATCTGCACTTGATTGCAGCTAAAATATTCTTTTTAGGATCCGTTTCACAGAACGATGCAAAATAAACACAGATGGGAGAAGTCGGGGAGAGAAAGCTGTAATGAAGTAGTGATGGTGGATTGATCTTCCTTCCCCCCCCCTCCCCCCAATGCCCTCCCCCAAAATGTGATCTTTTTCTGAACACAAAATGCTACATTTCTGTTTTAAAGCAGTAAAGATTTGGGGGGCTCTTTGGCTGGGGTTTTGGAGGGACACTTCCATCAGTGACTTTCTTGGATGCCTGCACCTGCCAAGCCTCTGTCTTGCCTTCACCTGTTCTAAAGTATGTCTTGTTTCTTCCAACACCTTGCAGGTCATTCTTCCAGAATGCCAGAGGAAAGTTCACCAAAACGGAGTCCTCAAAACATCCCGTACAAGGACCTGCCCCATATCGTCAATGCTGACGGGCAGTATCTCTTCTGCAGGTATTGGAAGCCAGCAGCAGCTCCCAGGTGAGCACTTTCAAGCAAGTGTCCTTTTTTACTATCGGTGAATAAGATTCTATTTGTGTAATTATTATTTATAGCTTGAGTGGCATTACAGGGCTGTGTGCGCGGAGCTTTACAGAGCCACTAAGAGAGATTTCTCTCATCTGAGAGAGCCCCTACTGTAAAGACTATATTCTCCAGAGGTTTACTCACTCAAGTCGGCCATACAGATGTAAAACATGGATTACTGTCATGTCATGCACAGCTGGATTGGTTGGCAGTTCAGTGTGCTACCGAGTGGCACATGCAGGTGGCTGATGCCTATCAGCAATAAACAACTATCTTCAGACTAGTAGCACAGCCAGGATACAGGCTTAGGGGTGTCTACCCTTTTGTATTTTCTCAGTGTCCACAAATTAAACATCAGCATCTGACTTCAGTTTCAACGGTAGTAGCCAAAATCTCAGGGCAACAGGCGGAATATGGTTTGACTGCATTGCTTTTTGACTGTTGTTTGGGGTTTTTTTTTAATTATTTATAGTTAGTAAATGATTTAGGGAGCTCTTTCACCGGCAACTACAATTTCAGAACTGACCTCAGTCATAAACACGGACAAGGAACCAGATAGAGAAATTTCTGTAATGTTTTTGTCTTAATTCAAATAATCCCTTTACTGTAATAGCTTTCTATGCTGATTGTGTGCTGATTATGATCTGTTATAGAAAGCTATCTCTGTTCCTCTCGTAGTTATGGTCTTTCTTCTTCCTCCCAGTATTTGCTGGCTTGGCGTGTATTTATGCTACCACTAGTTATATAAGTAGCTACTTCATAAAAATCTGGATATTGTTTTGTTGTTTTCTTTTTCGGCAAGCCAACAGGAAAAGCTGTGTTGATTTTTTGCAGGAGAAAACAGTCACAGGAAAAAGTTGTTCAAGCTGTAGCAGGGAGTTAAACTTTTTCCTTGACCACCCAACAGGTTAGACATCACCCTGTGTCCAAATCAGCCTGCAACTGCTCTGAGGGATGGATATGGGTCCAGGTTAGCTGGCCTTGGGTTTTATGTCTGCCAAACTAAGAGGCAATGGGAATAACATAGAGCTGGGAGGTGGGCAAACACCAAAGCACGCTGTCCCCAGAGGGGAGGACAGTGCAGCCACCCCAGTATAACTCATTGCACTGGTTGAGCTGTAGGATGTGGGTCTTGGTTTAAGATCACCTGGTTCACAGAGCATTTTATAGTTACTTCTACTCACTGCCTTTCAGAAACAAGGAGGAAAGTTTTTGCTGATGATGCTTTACATAGTCTTTGCACCAGCCTGAAGATTTCCTCTACAAGAAAAAAAAATGCTATCGAAACAAGCTTCTCCTGTGAAACCAGGCTGTCTCGTATTATAATGCTAATTAATCATTAACTGCCCACAACGTTCTTCACCCAGTTGTGGAATGGCTTTCTTTTTTCTTGTTTAATTTCTTAGCTGATTAGTAGTGAGTTGATGGGTCTTTGATCCAGAAGTGAAAGGATGATAAAGAGCTGATAAAACTTGGTGTCTAAATCCTCTGGGTAGTTAAATTTTTAGGGCTCTATGCACCAAGCAGTTAATTGAGAGTGAGCTTGCCCTAGTTTTGTGACAACAAAAGTGGATGGGATCAGTGTTGCTCATTTACAAGTGGTTCCTAAGTGGGTGTGTGCGTGTTTGCGTTCGTGTGTTTGTATATAAGGAGGGGGCGTGCTGTTTATTATGAGCTCTTTTTGCATTGTTATGTATGAGAGAGATGGAAAGTGACTGAATAACAAGTTAGTGCCTGTATCCTACAGTCAAGAAAGCTCTTGAAGTGCTTTGATAGGCAAACCAAAAATACATTATTTTTTTTCCCCCCTCTCACTTCTCATAAGTAGCTAAGCTTTTTCTGCTTCATATGTAGAAGCTCAGCAACTTTCATCTAATTTTAAATGTTCAGCAAAAGTGGTCTATATATATATATGTATAGGGAGAGAAAAAGACACACCTCAGGGGACTTTTACAGGCCTGTTACAATTTATTCTATTCCAAATACTGAAGGCGATTCTTTCAATCTTCCAACTCCATTGTTGATTCGGGTTCAAATCTTAACGCTAATGAATGACACTATAACGGTCAAACGGTGGGATCTTTCGTTGATCCATTATGCATCTAATCCCAGCTAGGGCTATAGCAATACCTCTTCACTGCAGATGCCCAAAGGTTATCATTGACTTGTCTTCTATTAGAATAGAACTTATCATCCCTGATCCCTCCCCCAGGGAGGGGAAAAAACGGGATATCTGCCAAAGGAAAAATTTAAAAAGTAACCCTAGCCTGGGGTTGAAGAGCATACAATGGCTAGGCAGTCTCTGAGAGTGGGGCTGACCGACAGACATCGCCCCTTGGAGCTGGTGCTTGTCTTTTTATCTCCTCAAACAGACCCGCAAAGGTGGATAAAGGCCGTGGCAGACTAATATACTGTAGCATTTTTATTTTTTTCAGAACGATTTGTTGGAAAGATGGGGAAATTTTGTGAGGCTCTTTTACTTTGTGCTGACAAATATCCAGCCTCTGATCCTGTGTGGTGTTGATCTGACTGATCAGCCCATACTGGTGCACATATGGAAGCTTTGTTGTAAGTGCCACCGAGGCCAAGGTTGTCCTGCGAGTGAAAGGCACCTATTGTGAGTTCCTCAGCAGGGTCCGCTTTGTTTCGAAGGGGGATTTAGGTGATTACTTCACAGGAAGCTGACACACAAAGGCACTCAGATGTCATAATGATTAGATGGGGTAGATAGAGTAGGTACTAATGGGACTAAGGAAGGAGAGCGACAGAGTTTTCCACTTGTTTTTCGGGTGGGAAGTCACTCCTAGCAGCAGAGCTGGGGACTGGATGTTGTCTTCTATTGCTGTCTGCTGGCAGCAATGCAGGTGCAACTTCCCCAGCCAGCAGCCCTGCAAGCTGCCCAACTTGTTGAGCCAGTTTCATCTTAAGATGTAATTAAGTGGTCTTGTTGAATGGAGCAGGGAAGAAAAAGCAGTATGTTCTGGTGTCGTTTTCATGTATTGTGCCAACAGCAGGATTTGTGGAGCATGAAAACAGGCAACTCTTTGGCACTGACTGCTCACTAGTGAGTGCAAAGCTTAAGATCTGGGCAAGGCAGCGTGTTTTCAGGACCATGTAATGTTGTTTGGAGGAAGTAAATTATTAGTGTCAAACCAGATTGATCTCGTGCTTATAGCATGTCCCAGTAGCCGAGGAATTCCTACTTAATGGGAAAGCAGTCTTTGTGTAAACAAAAACAGCGGCTCCATGCAAGGTTAAAACCTCTGCCACCACCCTGGGCGGTCTGAGTCAAAATAGGAGGTGAGGACTTAAGAAACCACGTTCTGTTCCCAGCTCTCAGACAAAGCTGCTAAGAATAGAGGTGGAATGAGGAAGGGGAAGGAAAGTTGGGAGGAGAAGTCAAGACATTTCCTTTGAGGCCCCTAAAGGGCCAGGAGAAGTATAGAGATGACCTTCTTTTCCTCTCTCTTCTGTATCCCCATAGCCTTTTCTGGAAGCTTCAGCTGTGCCTATCACTGCCCAGATAAGCAGAAACAGTTTGTTCCGGGGCACTTTCAGCCCTTTTGCTTTACCTCAAATAAACCCTGTGAGATTTATTGACCCAGAGGGGTTTTTTCAAAGGTGCTAATAGCCTGCAGCCACCATTGACTTCAGACAGAGAAAGTGATGCTCAACTCTCTCCCTGTAGATCAGCCACTCTAGGCTGGACACTTGAAGCTTGAGACACTTGTAGTTAGAGGATGCTTTTGAAAGTATGGGTTCCAGACATCCTTGTATCTGAGCTTCCTCATCTATCAAACAGAACTCATTATCTGGGTAGTTAGCATGACGCTTGTGTGTCTCTCCACATAGTGGTCTCCAGGTGCACTTAGATGATTACCAGCAACTGAAGTGGTCTGCCTGAGGAGGCTGCCTGAAGCAGAGATGCATGTGGGTCACAGATGTGTTCCTGCCTGATTGTTAATGTACGCTAAAATAGGTTGGCTCAACTTTAGACATCATGACCATGGTTTAAGTGAACAGAGTTGCAATTGTCTGAGTAAACAGTGCCTTTGTAGGAGTTCTCTCAGTTCTACACCTGACACGTGTGATTAAAACCACAAAATTAAACAAAAAGCACCCGCTTTTCTATTTACTTTTTAAAATTGTTTTACTCTTTGAAAAATGCCTGTCATTCATTCTGACTTGTTAGCAATGAAAGGCCAAGCCAATAAGGAGAAAATATATCTCTCCCTTCCCAGGGACTTTGCAGAAGTGCCTGTGGTGCAGAAATACAAACTGCTTTTATATTTGAACTGGCCCTTAAATTGTGAATATTGCTTGCTGATTTTGGCACCTCATTACCAGCATTTCCATGGCATTTCCAGAAGAACAGCACAGCTCCCAGCATGAGCAGATGACAAAGTTGAATTTGACTTTCAGAGCCTTCCAAAATGAATAAATAAATAAATAAACCAAAGTGAAGTCAAAGGAAAGGGAATCAAGTCACTAATTATAATGTCTTTAATTGTGCTGTGTGGTGTTAGTCTCTAGAAATACTTAGAGGAATTTCTAATTCAGTGTGACTCTTGAAGAACACTTTTGTTTGTACTAATGAGGTCACCTTCAAACTAATGCACAGGGGCGAGATTTGTATGGTGCAAAGTGACTTGTGTCAGCACAGTTTGTTGTAGGACAAATTCAGCTCCCTCTGTGTGTCTGATCACATCTTACCCAGTGCAAAGGGGAAATAAAAGTTATCATTGTCGAATCAACATTCCAGCCTTTGCTTGCTGCATTGCTATTGCCTGAGTTTCTAAAGCCTCCCTTCTATTCATCAGCCATGTATGTGTTCCTTTAATGCCTATGTTCTCTTTGCTCCATGTGACTGTCTTATTCACTGTGAATGGGGCCATGCTTTTATGATTTCTTATGCATTTCCAGAGGATGGGCAAATTAGCAAACCGGCTTCAAGT